TATGCGACATATATTTAATAGTGTTTTTTTTTTGTTTAATGCGAAATGTGGTGTCATAACCCCCCCTTTTTTTGCTTATTTCTGGTATTATTACTTCCATTCTGTTAGTTCATATTTTATCATATACATATTAGAATGATTTTCTGTAATATTATCTTGACACACAAAAACTGCCTTTTCAGGATGTCTTATGACAATTGTGGGGTTTTTCATTTGAAATAAGATATAGTAAAGGCCTATATGCTACATATTGTAATATTATGTGTAAACTAACTACATATTTGTAGTGTTACTGATCATAAACTTAAGTATCAATACAAAAAATACATTAGTCATATATGATATCAGTGAAGGAATCGGCATCTTGTTGCAGCTTGTTAAATTAAGAGAATTACAGTTTTAATAAACATTTGGCACTTATTTAGAGGTTAAACATTTCATGTTTATGCATTTTCAATCATTTCATCTTGGTCAATTTAAAGAATGTACTCATGCCAGGTTGTTTTAGATTTATTGCGGTATACACTTCCTTATAAACAATTAATGATTTCCACTCGTTAAATATATTGTCAATTATTTCGGTAAAAATATCTGTGGGTTTTCAGATAATTTTAACTTGTGGACGGAGGGAATAAAAGCTGAGCAAGTGCTTGAAAAATACACATTTATTCCTGAACCCAAAATGAAATGAGCCAGTTGCTGGTTTGCAGAGATGGATGCAGCGCATTGAAGGGATTCCATACCTTGTTGGGAGAGCATTACCATATATATGTAATGTTCCCTATTACATCAAGCCCGACTTACTCTCAGACATAATTTGTTGAAGTGCTAGTAAACAATAATATGTAAACGTTCTAATTAAGTGTTGTCATGTGATCTGCTTTTGGCGAACACTGCACATAATTTATATCTGTGCCATCCAGTAATTATCTATGTGGTATATATGTCAGATGCTGTTGCAGCTGTTGCAGAGAATAACAGTTTAAAAAATATTTAACACGTATTTTGAGGTTGAACACTGTCAATCATTTCATCTTGGTAAATCGAAAGCATGTATTCATCACGAGTTATTTGAGATAATAATTTGGTATCTGACTGACAAAATGTCTCTATACAGTTTGTTCTGACCTCAAACGAGTCTCTCGATGCGAAGGCAATGTAAACAGCAAGCAATGCAATACATACCCCAGATGTTTTCCAAACAATGTTTTTATGAGTAGAATGTGGTTTGCTTACAAGAATTATATCAAACAGTGAAATAGAAATGTTTTGTTGCAAACGGCGGACTTAAATTAGGATTGACAATAATCTATATATATCATATGTATTTAATAACATGCGCTTTATGTCATATGTATGTCAGTGTCTGTCATGATTTCCATCTAGTCACTGTGAGGGTGGACCGACATATCTTATTCGTTAATGTAATTGGCCTGTACTTACCCACAACAAACTTGTTCCGATCATTTGTGACCTGCTATAATTTTAAGTAAATGTGCCAATTTTCATGCTTTTTGATTGAGGGAAAAATTGGGTAGTATACTTTTAGACAGAGCTTCTTTCAGTAAAATTATCAATATATATAGATTGTTATTATTTTAAATTTAAGCAAACTCTCGTTCATAGTTCTATGTATGACCGTGTTTGCTTACTTTGGGTTGGGCCATTTTGCCTTAAATGTGTCGTATTTGAATGACTAAAATGTTTTGAAAAGTTAGGTGTGTGTATTTAAACAATTAGAAAAGTGACATAAATGTACAAAAACGCTTGAGTAAGTTTATTCCCATAAGAATAGTATGGCCTAGTGTGTTGATAACAAAAAATATATTTTACATGTTACGTGTTGAATGTTTGAGACGACAAATGTTCAAAATACGTATTAACCTGTGAATATTATATGTAACACTCTACAAGAGCAGAGGTTAGTATATCAGCTCCAAGTTTTGCATAATGGCAGGCAACTTGTTCAACAATACCTGTACTTGCACCAGTCACGATCACTCGTTTCACACGTATACTCTCTGCAATAAATATACATATTATGTACTCCACTGCAAAGTCAAATAACCGATATATAAATTCAACGGGTATGTTATCTCTGAATTAAGTTTAGAACTGTTTTAAATCAACCCACATATATCATTCATTTCAATATTCGTGCAAAGATGTACGAACATGGATGAGATGTTCAATAATAACGCTTTATCCTTGGATTTTACTAAATATGATTTGTAAATCTACTGATGAATAGTACAACAAAAATTGTTAATGACAAATATGAATGTCACAGTATACGTTTACTCTATAACATTATTATCATAGACAAAGTTGAAAACGACTAGAGAAAAGACGGACAATACCACTATTGTCTGATCTGTGATCTGTAGCACAACAACAAATATCAATGTTGTGCTGTGTTTACTCGGATCATACAACATATCACTATTATATATATAAGAAATATCATGCCTCATATAATTTTACATACTAAAACATGATTTTTAAGTCAGGATAATGTGGTAAAAATCAAGTTTACTCATATGTTCTTGACAATGCATTATATTTTAATCGCTGTAATTAATGGCCATTCCTAGTCTTGTTTCTATGGATTTCTCGAACAAAAACCTAGTACTACAGATCATGCATGTACAGAGTGCAATTATTATTGATTATCTCCTACCAGAACATTTTTTGTCTCTCAAATCAAAGCGGGACGTGGCGTAAATATAATATTACAACGCCTTATACTAACGGGCACTAATAACGTTGTGTAAACAGTAAATCAGTTATAAATCTGTTTATTGCAAATATTGACAAAGGTATGCTAGCATATTTCAAAAATCATAAATACTTAAATATCTGCAAAGTAATACAGCATGTGGAAAATTATGTTGATATACGTTCTCAAATGTGTTTTGCTCCAGCATTATTGTATTACTCAACAATGCATTCATTCGTTAAATACCTATTCCTTAGAGAAATCAAAAGCCAAATTGCATACACATATGTAGAATGTGTGTTATGTGTTATTATATACGTAAATACAGAATATAAATTGCCAATATAAACAAGCATTATATACGTTAAGGTGAAACAGAACAAACTTGTCGTAGCACGATGCTAAAATGGCGCCAGACAGCCGTCACGATGAACTTATAATCACATTAATTCGTTATGGAAAGTGATACCTGTAACTGAACACATGACACTAAAGTTACCAAACAACGAGCATGTAAAATAATAATAAAATAAGCGGTAAACCAAGTACGATAGTGACTGTAATGCAATATGTAAAAGTTGACATACATACCCAACCATAGATCTTTAAAATCACAATTATTCGGTAGTTCGGCTCTGTGGAGATGCTTACTTATACTCTTGCCTTCATATTCTAGCTAGTGAGACCTGAAATGTTTTGTACGATATTTATATCAATCAAGGTCATCCAGTAGACTTATTTCACACTTCTGTTTCAATCCCAAAACTGGTTTGTACTCAAAATGAATTAGATCGCATTGTTTTCACTTTGTGCATCTCAAATGGCAGACACATAACAGTTGCATGTTTTTGTGTGAAAGCGAAATCTTAGATTTTGAATTATTATTTAATGCGTCTCCAATACTCAGCACACGGAAGTTTTCCTGGATTGAACATTAGACTTGTAATTGGCTTTTGATTTTTATAGACCATTCAAAGTTGCAGCACTTGTCTTGATCAAGTCTACCAGGATACCAACTATCTATGGTCTCATGATGGAGCAATGGATATAATTCGTTGAATATGAATCGTTTTATTTTAGTGTTCACCGCGTTTAACATTAACAAGTTCACATGAAGTATAAAACACATTAGTTAATAATAGTGTTGGTTTGATCACAATCATAGTCAAATAGCGCAGAACATGTTTTCAGTAGTGCATACCATTGTATAAATTATTATAACACTTGGATTTCGCAGTATGCAGTGAGTGCGACAGGAAGTAATGTTGGGGTAATGTAGAACATGTAGTAATCAGTTATGCTATTTATTGATTGTAAAATACCTTGTTCTCGTGAAAAATCTTCAGCTACCTATGTTGACTTTGTCATATTACTGACTGTCGGATCCCTGGCGTCATACGTTTGCTTCGATATTTACATAAGGGGTGCCTATTTAATGTGCATAAAACCTAATCTAAATGAACGTTTCATGGTATGGTTATTAAGTGTAAAATTTGGAAAAAAGAATATATTTTTGTTTTGTTATGTACATTGTGATGGAATAGAATGTGATATTGTTCACTGTTTTTACTTATGGTTCTATGTCTGGTCCTCCCAGTATGACCTATCAACCAAGAATATGGCCTGAAACTATCTTTTGTTTATTGGTCAAAAAAAGGTTGACATGATAATCCGACTTCTTGGTCTGCAAGTAAAACTAGAGAGTGAATAATATATATTCATTTTTATAACGTTGCCTACAGTCTCCATTGTAGCTAAGTAAGTAATTTATTATAGTGACCTGCAGCTCAAAGAACTGCCCAGCCCAGTGGACTTATAATTTACCTTAAAGAACAACGATTACATTTACAAATAAAGGTTAAGAAAGATATCTTGAAATAATATATCAACAATACAATCGTGTAGTTCATTAAATTCAGACGTACAACAAATTTCTTCTTTTGTAAAAAGCCTTTTCTATAAAAAATGCAAGTTTTCTTATTGGCCCTGAAAATAAACGAACCAGTATTTGTTCCCGTGATATGCCAGTTATTTCATTGAGAATAGAATCTACATACTAGTGCCTCAATTCATTGTATTGCTGACAGTCAAACAAAAAATGTATTTCGTCCGCAACAACGTTTGCATCACAACATTTACAGATTCGTTTACTCACAGGCTCGTGTCTAAATCGCCCAGTCTCAATACGGAGAGACAAAATGCCCATGCGCAGTTGAGCTAATAGTGACCTTTGATCCGACTTAAATGTATTAGCACGTACCTTTCTGATTTATATTCAAATTTAAAAGTTGCATAGACACGTAACTGTGGTTTGTGACTAACATCTTCTGACCAAGATTGTTTCATTTAGAATCCATAAAATACCTGTAATAATGTGTTTTTCTTAGAGATAAAGCTAGTAAACCCCCACACTCCAACATTCTCAACAGCCATGTCTTGTAAGGTCATGTCCTTACTATATGCCCTTGTGTTCATCGCGAAGTACATCGTCAAGGTTAATTTTGGCTCATTGATAGGGCATTCTGTTTCAAACGGTGACCTTATAACATTCATACCTCAACGACACGTACACATATCAACATGGGAAAGTTTTGGAACATAGTAGGACTGCTCATTGTGTTCATTGCAATGTACATTGCATACACATCGAGAGATACCTTCGATCCAGGTGAGATAACACTATTACTTTAATGCCCATGCCCTGTGAATTTATTAATTTGTACTTGGCTTTGTAGTTGGCGTAATAGAGACCTTGACATACGTCAGCTACGCGTACGTGATACACGACGAGAGTACATATATGAAGTGAAACCGCTCACTTCAATTTTAAAAAATGTTAGTAAACGTAAATGACACTTCGTATCCTCGGTCGTTGAAACCCACTCACACTCACAGTAAGCTGGCGCACACGTGATCATAAAATAAATACGATATTTACTATATGGGGCCGCCATCTTGAATGCAGCGTAAAACTAAATAAGAGACAAGTTGTGAAACGCGTTTTCCAGATTCCTGCAAATCAGGACAAAAATACCAATCTTTCACAAAAATGTGATCCGTTGGACGTTCTTCTATTGGACCGTCGGTTCCTGTCCTAACCTGTCAGCTCTCAATTAAGTCTAGGACTTCAGGTTTCCTGAATATTACTGACGTTTCACTGGAAACATCACCAGGCGACCCGATGAAAATATATCAACATAAGTTTTGTTTGAATTATGTTACACTAGACCACCACATGCAGGTTTTGTAAAATGTTACCTATTTAAAAATTGGCAAGGTTGAATGGAATTACTTCTGCGTGATAACAAATATATTTCATCCTTCATTGTTTTAGGGACATTGATTTCTGCCCTTCTACCACAACATACTTCCAGTAGCCTCCAGTCCTCCGCCCAGTTTTCAACTTGGTATCCCTATGTTCATACATTTTATTAATCAGAAATCATCTTACCGGTCACGTACATGTTAGGGGTCAATGTTTAATCAGTTATTGTTACAGTTTAAAACACTGAATTATTTATTTGATTACTGAGCGGCTCAGGGGAGCAGGAAAGTGTATTTTTTCAAGAAAAAGGCAGGACAAGCATTGTATTCAGATAAACGAAGAAGTAGAAAAATTCAACAGGATATAGAAACTTTACTCCCCGCTCCTATCCCGCAGTACAAGTGTTCTGTCAGAATGCAGAACTGAATTAAGGAGTAGTCATTGTTACAAGTCTTCATCACATTACACAATTGATGACATCTACTTCATGAAATATGTTAAACCTTGGAATTAGAATAATAATATTTTATTGCAGAAAGCATACGTGGGAAGCGAGTAATTGTGACTGGTGCAAGTACCGGTATTGGAGAAAAGGTCGCCTACCAATATGCAAAGCTGGGAGCCAATATACTAGTCACTGCTCGGAGAGAGAACCGACTCAAGCAGGCGAGTGATGTTGCAATTTCATGTAAAGAAAAATTCTGTCCCTATTGCATAGACATATACACCTCACTTTGTATTTGGCTTATACAAGTGCTTTTTATATATCGAGTTTTTAGTATCACACGGAGCACCCCTCAGAGTTAATGTCACAATCCTGTAATAATCGTACTTGATTCAACCTTTATTTCGTGGTTAGAGTATTCTATTTGTGGAATGTGTCACTGCAATATAATAAACTATGACATAACCTGACAAATTCCTTCATTGGGACATGTTTTACGACATTAGCATCTTACATTTGGCGTGTTCTTTCGACAATGAAATAAAATGTATGTTTTAATAATTTCAATTCTGAAAATAGCGCCCTCTATACAAGAAATACTATTCACATCGTTTTTAAAGACTAACATGCACAGACTGACACCAAGGCAATGCAAAAGCTTATGAAATTGATGCAGTAAATAATATGGGCCATACAAGTAAAAAAATAACTTTTCATTGTTTTACATCATTTACATTTTTCAAAAAAATTTCTTTCAAAACTTATGATCAAATATAAAACAGTGCTGTTGAACACCCAATTTCAAAATACACACGATGAACAAAAACGTAATATTCATTATTATTATAATCAGTATTAACCTTTGTTGTCCACCTTTGGCATTCGAACATAACATTGTTTTTAACTAGTACGTAAGTAAATATAAGGATACTTTACATATTCTGAAGATATTAACAATTTATTTTCAATGCAGGTAGTAAAGAAATGTTTAGACTTGGGTGCTCAATCCGCACATTACATTTCTCTAGACATGCAAGTCATTGACGAGACTGGTGAATTGATAACTGAAGCTGAGAAGACACTCGGTGGATTAGATTATCTCGTTTTAAACCACGCCCTCTACAACGTGGAATTATGGGATGGCGATATCGAGGGACTTCAGGCACTAATGAATATCAACTTTTTTTCTTATGCGAATCTAGCAACCAAAGCACTACCCATGCTGTCAAAGTCTAATGGTAGCATCGCTGTGGTCTCATCATTTGCAGGTAAGTCGATTATTTTCAGTTTGGTACCACAATGTCAATACCAGTCTAAAATTGTATTTTTACATCCCCAGTGATTTAACCTGTCAAATACAAACGGAAATATATTGTTATGTAGCCTTACATAGCAACATATACTCAATGTAAACCTAGAATAGAGTATTAGCCGAGGAAAAATACTATTACCGGTCTGCCACCATTATAATTTGAAAAAATCACGTGACCCGAACCACAAACACACGCGTCTTTATTGTTGTACGTGACAACAAAAATAGTCTCTATCACGGAGTACGACGTAAAGTATGTACTACTAATGAGCTGTTTGATCTGTGGTAGGTCAACGCCGGCCAACAACGCTCCCGATAAACATTTGGTGGCGTCATATTGTCCCTAAGTTACGCATGGGCAGAATACCGAGAAAACTGCGATGTACTTTGGCGTCGGTTCTAAATTATTTTAATTATTCTCGCTGTTGAACGAGAACGCGGTTCCACAGAAAGTTTAACACTGCATTTTCAGCAAGTTATATAAAGAAAAAAAAATAAGAGTTACGAAATGTGTAAATACGCAAAAAATAATTAGTTAGACATAGCTTAATATTAATATTGTGACGTGATTGGACAGAGGGCCGGTGGATTAATACACCGCGTGCAGGGTACTGAAAAAGGATAAGACAGTTATATCGTTATGTCGGATAAGACCTTCTTCTCAACCTAGTATAGCATAGTATATCATCAAGTGCACAATTGGTATATTCATTTCAGAAGCACATTGCGAATAAAACAGCGTGTATATTTATGGCATACTAGATTACTAAAGTATGGCCTATTATTACATTAGTCAAGTTGAGGTAAAAGAAGGGTATGCCTTCCTATGTTAATATAAATTGTTATGTCTATTGTCAAATACCATCAATTGCCTTTTTCTTTCTTTTCCTCGAAGTTGACTCTTCACTCTTTCACGTTATAACTAGTATTTACGTACAATGTTTTCTATTGCGTAACATACAATTTATACTTAAGCAGCTGTAGAGCAAGTATTAATCGGGCCAACAATTGTTCATATTATAATAATCATTGTGTTGTATGTCTTGCAGGTTTGGTCACTATACCATCTATGACTACCTATTCTGCCTCCAAACACGCATTGAATGGGTTCTTTGAAGGATTTAGGCTTGAACTCAATTATAAGAACATCAATGTATCTATAACACTGCTTTTACTTGGGGTTGTAACCACTGATCATGCAATTGAATTGATACAAGATCGTGAAATGTTTGCAAAATACGGCGATCCAGATGAGGCTGCCACTTGCATAATGAAGGCTACGAGTTCCAAACAGACATGGGCTTACTACCCTTGGGTTGCAGCCAGAATACCTGAAATAATACACACTATTTCACGTGATCTATGTGATGTCATGATGAGATTGAAAAATTGAATGCCAAATATATCGTGTACTCGACTGAAACATAACCACTACTGTTGAACAAAGCATATAATACAAACATGTGACAGTGTGACGTCAGAAGGTTGACATGCTTGCATCAATTACAAATAACATATAATAAATAATGATTAAATGCATTTGAATCATAGATGAATGTTAAGCAGATGTAGAATACATCTGAAATAATGATTTAGCAACTCCTTAAATTATACTCAAGTTATTACAAGGGTGGTAGGCAAAAGTGCCTGCGTTAATACAATACTAGAAATAATACATGAATATTAACTTATTCTTAGATAAAATAGGTTAATAGTGACATTCTAGAAATGGAAAAAAACAGTGCTGCAAGCATTGCCGTGGTGACATGTTTTTTATCTAACTCGTAAATGTAGTGATTTTGCGTCTTGCTCAGACTCCGAATTTTAGAATACGTACGTATAGCGCGTACAAGACATGGCCACGCGCTTTTTAAAACGTTCAAATGTAGGACGCTTTCAGCCCGCTCTTCATAATGAATAGACGGGGTATGAAACATCCAAAGCTGACCAATAGGTGATCGCAATATAGAACACGTGACCAGCAATTTTTCGTCCAATGCTCGTACCATTGCATACGTGTACCATGCTCTTCTTCGCATTATTATGCATGTCTGCCTTTTATAAAACAAGGTACACACCATGTTCAATCATTAAAAAACATAATTCACTAATCTGAGCTCAATATCGAATGTTTGCTGTGAAATGCAAAAACTTTAATAATCGCTGTTGTGCGGTCACTCATGATGCATCGCTATCACTAGATGCATAGCTGCCGTTCTGTGCATATTTAAATCTAGTTCGATGACGGGCAAAATATTCATACCGGCAATAAAACAACGATATACTGTCATGAATTTGTTTTCGCGTATCTGTTGGTCAACTTAATTAACTGATTATTAATGAATTGCTGTGTTATGTCTGTCATCGTATGATATGACGTATTCAGTACTTAGTGCGATTGGCTTTATGATTGAAGGTTACGCCCTAGAGTCTTTTTACTGCTTTGTAATTGGTTAGAGTTTTGAAAATGAATAAAGAGAGTTTGAGTTGGTCTTGGCAAGTACTCTACGAGAGACGCAGTCTGAGAGAGAGTGCAGTCCTGGAGAGTCGAGTCCTGGGGCGAGCCTTGAGGCAGTCCAGTCTTGGGCTAGTCTTGGGTCAGCCTTGCGAGAGTCTTGGGGACTTTTCCCCAGGGCGCTGTGTTTTATAGAGTGCTCGATTGACCGACTAAGACGAGAGCTGAAACGTATTTCGTTGTGTGCGTCTTATTTGACTGTAAAGTATAATTGAC